CTCGGGTCCCGCAGGGACAGGGGCAGCGTGGCGCCGTGTTGCGTGGAGCGAGGCTGCTTGCTCGCTGTACTCGTCCATCTCCGCGGTCTGCGGAGGCGGGATGGCGCGTGTCCCTGGTGTTGGCCTGAGCTCCGTGTCTCTACCTGTTGTCTCCCTTCCCACCACCCTCCAGTCTCGCCCGCATTTCAGACCCCCCTTTGGTTGAAGCCTCTAGGTTTGTTTTCGTTTTCAGTTACTATTATTGGTTGAGTCCCTCAGGGATGTAAACTTGTCCTGTGGCTCAGTGATGGCACCGCGGGGGCCAGGCGTAGCGAGGGCCGGGTCCGGGTGCTGGGCCGTCCTGGGCTCCGTGTCCCCGAGCTCAGCTGTGGGAGGACAGAGCGAGGCCGGTGAGCACTCACAGTGTCTCAACACTCTTTTCAAGGTGGTTTCTGGCATCCACTGGAAACCGCTCTTGGTGACCTCCTCTTCCCGCTGTGCCTGCGGCCGGAGTAGCCCCACACCCTGGGTTCCCTCTCCAACTCCCAGCCTGCCTGAGGCCAGGGCAGTTCCCATGGCAGCGCTTGACTTGAGACTTTGCGGCAGGCTTGAGTAGGAGGAGAGGGAAAGGTGAGCCAGAACCTGCCCCGGGGGGCTGGGCAGGACCCCCAAACCAGTGGGCCCTGGAGCTGGTGCACATGGCAGGTGGTGTCCCCGGTTCTGTGATCTCGGCCTTTGCTGATGGTTGGCACTGTTCTCCGGTGTGTTGTCAGCTCCTTTCTCAAAGAAGACAGCGACTTCACGGGTGCCCCTCACGGGGGCTGGTGGTAGATGTCAGGCCCCCAGGCTGGCCGGAGCCCTCAGGCCCAGCTTTCCTGGAAGTTGCTGTCTCGCCTGCCCCGTCCTCCCCCACATCCCACTCCCACTGTCCTGCCCCCACCTGTATGTCTGCCACCCAGGGAAGTGCCCTCAAAGTAGCTGACACTCCCGGGGCTGTCCCCCGGCCGCCGGAGGGGACAGGCGTGGCTGATGATGCTCTTCCTGACTCCAGGAGCTGTTTGCGGAGTTCGGGACTCTGAAGAAGGCCGCCGTGCACTACGACCGCTCTGGCCGCAGCCTGGGAACAGCCGACGTGCACTTTGAGCGGAAGGCAGACGCCCTGAAAGCCATGAAACAGTACAACGGCGTCCCTTTGGATGGTGCGTTTGGGGTTGGACCCAGGGAGCTGAGGGCTGGCACCTGTATGCTTACACCCTCCCCCTCCCCGTTGAGGACACTTTGCCGTCACCCCCTTGTCTCCCATTCTGCCACCCTCTGCTGCCTCCACGTCTGGACCCACCTCTTGTGATCCCCATCCAACAAGCTACGTTCCTCCCCTTCAGCTCCTTCCTTCCCGAAGCCTCGCCTTCCAGAAGCACCGTAGTGCTCGCTCTGCGGGCGGGCTGAGGGTGTCAGGGGCCCCCACCTTTCCACCTGTGAGCGACGCCGCCTGAGCCGGGCTGAGGAGTGAGGCGTTGGCAGGCTATCCTCGGTGCTGCTGCTCCTCCCCGTGGGTCCAGGCTGCCTGTCTTGGTGGGAGCACTGGGGGCCCGGTGGGTTCCGGCTCCGATGGGAGTGTGCCCTTTTGTGTTCCCGCCGCAGGCCGCCCCATGAACATCCAGCTCGTCACCTCACAGATAGACACGCAGCGCAGGCCGGTACAGAGTGTGAGCAGAGGCGGGATGACTAGAACCCGAGGATCCGGAGGCTTCGGCGGCGGCACTCGGAGAGGCGCCCGTGGAGGCAGCCGGGGCAGAGGCAGGGGCACCGGCCGGAGTTCAAAGCAGCAGATCTCTGCAGAGGAGCTGGACGCCCAGCTGGACGCTTACAACGCGAGGGTGAGTCCCGGGCCAGGGGGTCTGGGGGCTGGCCTAGCGCGAGGGTGGGGAGCCCCCTCTTTTTTGGGGGTGGGACCTTCTCTGACCTCTTTTTTCTCCTGTTTCAGATGGACACCAGCTAAAGCACCAGCAAGTCCGTGCGTGGAGCTAGGCCTGAACGTCGTCTCCCGCTGCTTCCCGAGGGCGGGCCGGCGGGGCCCTGTGGCCAATGATGGAGTTGTTTCTTCTGTTTTAAAATAGGATTTAAAACTCATGTAAAGATTTCTTTTCCTTTTTTTTTTTCTTTTTTTTAAAAAATTCTGAAACAGACCTGTTTTGTACCGAGTTATTTTTGGGATAAATTTTACTGGTTGCTGTTGTGGAGGAGGTGGCGTTTTCACCTTTGCCATAATAAACAGAAACGTGTGTAGAACTGGACCTCTCGTTCGTCGTTGTAGCCCTCGCCTGGGCCACACTTTGGTGCTGACCAGGAGTGAGTCGGGGGCGGGGAGAGGGGGAGGGAGGGGAGGGACACGGGGCAGGTGGGGAGCGGCCGAGCTGGCATCTGGTGTCCTGGCAGGCTGGCGCTGGCACTGGTGCTGGGTGCCTCTCTGACATTCCAGGGGTCCTGGCACTCCCGCTGACCTGGGCGGTAGGGGAACGCGGGGCAGTAGTCCCTGCTCCTGTAGCCACTTGTCACCTGCCTGCTGCGTGAGGCGGGGTGGCCACCTGTGCTGCTGCCAGATTGCAGGTGACTGCTCGCTTGTCCCCTTCCTCCGCTGCTCAGGAGCCTGGAGTTGGCAGCTCTGGCAGCAACATCCTCCCTTCCTAGTGTCCTTCCTGTTGGCCAGGGTGGAGCAGGCATGGGGGTCCCCTGCCTGCGCTGATGGTGCTGGTGGAGACTGGCAAGTGTGACCTGCAGAGCCAGGAGCCGGTGGACACACGTGCCCCTCTCACCACCCTCCAACAGGACAGAGCGGGCTGGGACCACAGTGGATGCAGGTCAGGGGGACCCCAAGCATGCTTGGCCAGGCCCCTCCTGGAGGCAGCCTGCAGCTCAGGCTGCTCCCAGTCCCCATGGGGCCACAGTGTGACTAAGGGTGGCCCTGTCACTGTCAGCTCCAGTGCTGTCCCCACAGAGCCAGCGGCTGCAGCCTGTGCTACGCTGGGCACTGAAGAGCCCAGGAACAGCCGAGCTTGGCTTGAGCTGCTGTGGCCAAGGGGTGGATGTAACAGAGGTCGGTCATCCAGGCACAGGCGGGCACAGGCCAGGTAGGAGACTGCGCTGCGAGTGTTGACAGGAGAGGTGGGGTCATCTTGCTCCCTGCTGTCCAGAAGCTAAAGTCAGCACCTGATGGAGGGGTGAGGTCCCCCAGGCCAGAGGCCATAAGTGCTGGAAGCGCCCGCCACTGGGGTGGGGAGCTGGGGTGGTTCCTCAGGCCCTGGGGGAGCAGTGCTAGGCCCCATCTTCAGGTGCCAGGAAACAACTGGGAACAAGAACTCCCAGACAGTGGGAGGCTGTGGAGGAAAACGGGGGGAGGGGAGCCTGTGGACGTTTGGAGGAAAGGCCCTGAGGTGAGGACACTGGAAGCTGGGACAAGCCGGGCCCGGGTGTGGCTGGTTGGAGGGGCTGGTGTTGAAGGAAGGGGCCCTGGTACAGGCTGCGGCCAGCTTTCGGGGCCTCCCAAGGGTGACATCCATAGACAGTGCTCCAAAGTAGATGTGGAGTGGGCTTTCAATGCGTAGAATGTGAAATGCTTGTTTTAGAAAAAGATTTTCAATTGACAGAAATCATTGGGGGGGAGGGGGCCAATGGGGGAAAAGGGGGCACATATGTAATACTTTCAACAATGAAGATTTTAAAAAAATAAAACATTCCATGGGCACAAAAGGCTGATAATACACAGTCGTTTTCCCAGCACTAGTCAGGTGAAATCCTCGTTCCTACAGGCTTTTGAAATGAGAGCTTTAATAAGTTGGTATGGTCATGCCATTATGTTTTCCCCTCAGCGTACATCTCAGTGATTTTACTGTATTCAGTCACACACCCACCACCACATTCCAATTCCAGAATCTTCTCATCACCGCTCAGCCCCTTCCCCTCTCCCCAGGGGGGCACTGAGCTGCTCAGCCTCTGGGTTTCCCTGTTCTGGGCATTTCATATATAGGAACTGTTCGCCATGGGACCTTTCCATCTGGCTTTAAGTTCGCGTACCACACCAACCACCTGACCTGACCCCCCGGCCAGGGCTCCTAAGGATTTTTGAGTTTATCCGCTTTATGGCATGAATCAATGCTTCAGTCCTTTTACCAAATCACCTGTGATGGATGCCTCACGTTCTGTTTCTCCACTCATCAGTTGCTGGACGTTTGGGTTGCTTCCACTTTTTGGCTATTAGAATAATGCTGCTATGAGCATTATTCACACATTTTTATGTTATGGAATTAAAGGTGGCTATATTTTTCATAAATGTTTACATGATTTACTTTAATGAGCTGTTATTATTAACAAGTCACCCTGGGATCAACTGACTATTGGGGGGGAAATAGCAATAAATATGCATCATTAAAGATTTTCATATAAAAAGAAAACCAGAAGGTAATCTCGTTAATTTTAAATACGTCAACTTGTCGGTGATCATTTAGCCCAAGCTAGGACAGAGTTAATTTTTGTTATCTATGCAGGTTGCAGAAACAGTTGTAAAATGTTTTAGCACAATAGTAAATTAATATCTAATAAAAATTAAGCATACCAGTTTTTAAATGTACAAATCCATCATAAACACACCATTCAAGTTACCGTTATTGTTTTAATAATCTTTTTTTGTCCTTGTTGAATAAACACTCAAGATTTCATAACAGTAAAGAACATCCAATGTTCACCTCTGGAGGGCTCTTGGGCACTAATTCATTCTAAATACTGACAAATAACAGAGTGTCAAACATTTTATCTGGTTTTATTTCTCTCAACTGTATTTTGAAGGGATTAAATAACTGATGAGGAAGTTTTTTTAAAAAAAGAATTCCAGCTCTAGCTGGTTTGACTCTGGATAGAGCATCAGCCTGCAGACTGAAGGGTCCTGAGTTTGATTCTGGTCAAGAGCACATGCCCAGATTTCAGGCTTGATCCCAAATAGGGTATCTCTCTCATCACTGGTGTTTCTATCTCTCCCTCTCCCTTCCTCCCTAAAATCAATAAAAATATTTTTAAAAAAATAATTCCTGTTAAGAAATGCCAGTGGATTAGAAAATAACCATTTTTCGATGCCTAATTGTGCTGTGCCAGCACGGCCAAGGGTGAGCCTGAGGAGGGGCGGTGAAGGATTGAAGAAAAGACAGACAAGAGAATACAGCTGGGGCTTGGTGGATCTCCCATGCTTGGATGAGGACACAAAAGACCCAGCCTGCAAGCCGGTGCTTTATTTTATAGTCTGATTAAAACAAGATTAACATGTATACAAATGTTCTTGTTTTCGCAACACTTGCTGCACCTCCCACAGCCCACTAGCTACTTAGGAAGGAATTAGGGAGGGCTACAAGGTCAGGCTTAATCGTGCTAGGAGGGCTCTGCTCTCCAGGCTGGGACTTGTTTGTGGCCCTGCCACAGGTCAGCCTGAGGCTTGACCCTAGAGCCGCTCCCTACACCTAATAAAATAATGCCTGTTGAAAACAATACCCATGACCTCTGATGCCATGGGCTTGAGAGGCTGCTGGCCGGCCGGAGCCCACGGCACCTCTGAAAGTTTACTGGGGGCTTCTCCAGCCTGAGCTATGAGGGGACAGGAGCACCCACAGCACAGAGGAGGACTGGGCCAGGCAAACCCAGAAGTGCCTGGGAAATGCTCAGCCACCCATATCCTGGTTTCCTCCGAACCTGAGAGGCACAGCACAGAAAAGCGACTGTGGTGTAGCCATAAAGATTTGGTCTTTGTCACCGGTTCCCAGCACAACTCCAACAGCCCTTGGAATCTCCTGGCAGGAGTGCCTCTTTATTCAGAACAGATCCCTTTCACACTCGGGTTTACGGTGATACGATGACTCTGGGTGGGCTCCTGGATAGTGTCAGGACGGCTGCTGGTACCCTGTCCTCTGGGAAGGGGCCAAGGCTAGAGATTGAGTCAATCACCAAGGACTGATGATTTAATCAACCTTGCCTTTTGATGAAGATTCCATAAAAGCCCCTAAACCATGGGTTTGAAGAGGTTCCAGGTCAGTGAACACACGAGGAGGTGCTGGGAGGGTAGTGGGCCCAAAGAGGGCATGAAGCCCCAATACACCCTCCCTTCCTTGCCTTGTGCATTTCTTTAAAAAATTTATATATATATATTTAAATTGGTTTCAGAGAGGAAGATGGAGAGACAGAAACATCTATACTAATGAAAGGGTAATATGCTAATTAGATAAGATGTCTTCCGGACGTCCTTCTGGACAAAGCTGCAGTGGCTGCTGCTGCGAGGGCCGGGCTAAGGCTCAGGCAAGCCGTGGTGGCTGGCAGCGTAATGGGGGCATTGCCTTCCCCTGATCAGCCCGGTCACCTCCCGCAGAGGGAGGCCAGACTGCAGCTTAGGATATCCCCTGAGGGCTCCTGGACTGTGAGAGGGGGTAGGCCAGGCTGAGGGACCCCCGTGCACAAATTTTCATGCACCAGGCCTCTAGTCCTATATAATAAAAGGATAATATGCAAATTGACTGAATAGTGGAACCTGTTGCTATGACATGCACTGACCACCAGGGGGCAGATGCTCAATGTAGGAGCTGCCCCCTGGTGGTCAGTGCACTACCACAGGGGGAGCGCTGCTCAGCCAGAAACTGGGCTCATGGACGGTGAGCGCAGCGGAGGTGGCGGGAGACTCTCCTGCCTCCACGGCAGCGCTAAGGACCCCTTGGGAGATGTCCTACTGCCGGGAGCAGGCCTAAGTTGGCAGGCGGACATCCTCTGAGGAGTCCCGGACTGTGAGGGGGGACAGGCCAGGCTGAGGGAAACCCCCCTCCAGTGCATGAATGTCGTGTACCGGGCCTCTAGTCAACAATAAGAATCAACAGGCTGCCTCCTGCATGCCCCCTACTGGGGATGAGCCTGCAACCTGAGGAAGGGGCCTTGTGCACTGAGCCACACCAGCTGGGCGCCCTGTGCATTTCTTGCAAGTTGTGACCTTTATAATCGACCAATGATTATAAGTAAGGAGCTTCACTGAGTTGTGTGAGTTATTTCATGGAATTTTCTAACCCCGCGTGGGGAGGTCTTGGGAATCCTCAAATGTGTAGTCTGCTGGCAAAGATGTGGGTAGTCTGGGTACCCCACTCGTGGCTGGTGTGAGGTAGGGACAGCCTGTGGGCCGTCCTTGGGCGGACAGACCTGGCAGAATGCTGATGGCCAGCCTTCAGGTGGCTGCAGGACGCCAATCTGCCCACCACTCCTGAGAGCCCCGCAGCGTTCGCGGGGCCCACAGAACACGAGAAAGAGAAGCAAACATTTGTTGTTCCACTTATTCCTGCATTCACTGGTGGCATCTTGCGTATGTCCTGACCAGGGATCGACCAGCATGGGGAGGTGACACCGCCAGGGCCAGGACTTGAAAGTTTTCAATATTCACGCTGGCCTGTTCGGCTCAGCGGCTAGAGCGTCAGCCTGTGGACTGAAGGGTCCCGGGTTCCATTCCAGTCAGGGGCACATGCCCAGGTTTTGGGCTCAATCCCCAGCAGGGGGCGTGCAGGAGGCGACAAATCAATGATCCTCATCACTGATGTTTCTCTCTCTCTCTCTCCCTTCCTCTCTGAAATCAGTAAAAACATATATTTTTTAAAAAGGTTTGAACTTTCCAGTTGCACAGCAATGAGATAGGGTCCATCCTATGGACAAGCCTCAGAAGCTCTTGGGGAAGAAGGTTCATTCCCAAGTCAGGCCGCCTGTGCCGCCATCATCACCCCCGGGGCCAGGGGGAACGCCCGCACCAACGCAGAGGCTGAGCCTGCAGCTGATTCTGCCCAAGGTCGCGGTTCACTAGCAGAATCCTGAGCTCTCTTCTCCTTCGGGGCACTCGGGGCGTCGCCGGGTCGTTTCCGGTCGGTTGGCAAACGCTGAGCCCCTGAGGAAAGCCTCGCCGCACCCCGCGGAGGC